CTTAGCAGTCCTACTCCTGAAATTGGAAGTAAGGTGACAAGTGTGGTGAGGGTACAGACACATATTTGGTGGTAGAATATTTAAGGATCTCATGGCAGAGATCTTCAAGCTCAATGTGAAGAGATATGATTAGAGTGAGGCTTGAAGAAAACCATGAAAGTATAGAAAAATCATTGAGCAGATTTGACAATGGGCAAGTGAAAAAAATTGTGGGCCCAGCTGAGGGAGACTGGAGACAAATCTGTGATGTGCTCCTCCTGAGCTTGAGTGACCTTTCCCAAGATCTCTTGTCATCCAGATGTGGACTTGGGAAGACAGAGATTGTGGGATGAATTTTTCTGGGTAGTTTTATAGGCTGGATAATGCACAAGGGAGCAAAAGAAGCTGGGGGAATTCTTTTATTTTATTTTAAATATTTTTACATCATTTTTCATTTTTGTACAGTGTATGCATTTTCACCTCGGTTATAGTCCCCATGAAATTCCCACCACCCAGTCATCAGTGATCTATCACCTTGGGCCTTTGTGCTCTTCCCACCCTTGTTTTGATCCTATTCCCTTCTTCCCCGCCCCTGCAGAATGTCTCTGGTTTATAATTGTCTGTTGATTTTGATTTTTGCTTTATTACAGTTATTTTTTTTTCTGATCCCTTATTTAGATCCCCTACATTCCTCCTATAAATGAGACCATCTGGTATTTTTCTTTTTCTTCCTGGCTTATTTCACTGAGCATGATCCCTTAAATCTCCATCCATGTTGCTGCAAATGGCATGTGTTTATCTTTTTTGATTGCCGAGTAATATTCCATTGTGTATATGTACCACATCTTCTTAACCCAGTCATCTATTTTTCTTTTTTAAAGATTTATTTATTTATTATTTATACAAGCACCGGGTACAGTCAGAAGCGCGGGAGGGTGAGAGAATTCACCAGAGCCAGAGCGAGGAGCAGAGCAGGCAGAAGGACCGAAGTACACTGCTGAGGGGAGCAGCGGGCGGCAGGAGAGGTCTGCGCGCCATGTGGGACCCTCCTCCGGTGGCGGGGAGCAGCCGGGGATCGAACCGGCACTACAGAGGCTGCGGGCAGCTTTGCAACCCAGCGCTCAACTGCTGCGCCACCGGGGAGGCCCATTCATCTATTTTTCTTAATGAGGTTTAGGAGCAACTCTAGCGGGAGTGAAGGGATGAGCTATATGGTCAGAATGGGTTTCCTTTGAGGTTCTTGAGGTAGTTGCAGGGAACAGGGTGTGGCCACAGAATGATGGTTGATGTGGCATGAGGGTTGTGGAGTGAGGGTTGTGGGCATAACAATGTTGAGTTTTGGCTGAGGGGGGCTGGTGAATGGGCTTATCCACCTGGATGTTCAAATTGCCTGGGCTGGAGAGGACTACTGAGAGGGAGACCTCTCAGGAGATCAAAATATTGGTAAGCATCAGGATGATGAATGTTAATGGAGGCTTGCCATGACAGGCATTGTGCCAAGAGCTTGGCATATATTTTCACATAAACTCATCATAACAACTCTGTCTATTAAGCACTGTTATTATCCCATTTTGCAGGCAAGGAAAATAAAACATCAAGAGGTTTAAGAGGTTCAGCAACTTTCTAAGACTCACACGGCAGCCAGTCAAGGGGCTTTGACATTATGATGGGAGAACAGGGGTCTGGAAAGGGGAGAGAGGTGCAGATCCTCCTGGTCTTGGGGGTGGGCATGGAGTGTGGGAATGCCGGTGGGGCAGCGGCATCCTCAAGGCTGAGCCAGGTTTTAGTTAAGGTGAAAGGAAAAAAGAACCATGTATCAAAAAGTCCAAAGATGACTTCTAAGTATCCGCACGAAAAATACAAAAGCACTAATTCGAAGGGATATACGCACTGCCATGTTTACTGCAGCATTATTTGCAATAGTGAAGAGCTGGAAACAGTCTAAATGCCAACCGGAAAATGAGTGGATAAAGAAGATATGACACACACACACACACAGCTATAAAAAAAATCATCATTATCCTGCCATTTGTAACAACCATGAGAGCATATGGATGGACCTAGAAGGTCTTATGTCTTAGTGAAATAAGTCAGAAAGGAGAGACAAATACGTAATTTCACTCATATATGAGTGAACTGCAGTAAACATGGCAGTGCGTATATCCCTTCGAATTAGTGCTTTTGTATTTTTCGTGCGGATACTTAGAAGTCATCTTTGGACTTTTTGATACATGGTTCTTTTATATCTATACAGAGATATAAAACAAATGAATGAACTAAATAAAAAAAGAGTCATTGGTAGTTACCAGAAAGGAAGGAGGAAGGGCATAAGTTGGATCTAAAGGGTCAGTTATATGGTGAACTTAATGTAGTATATGCAGAAACTGACTCTCTGTGATGCACATCTGGAATTTATATAATATTATAATGTAGTATTATTTCAATAGAAAATAATAAGTTAAAAAAAGAAATAAAGAGCCTCCCTGGTGGCGCAGGTGGTTGAGTGCCGCGCTGTGAAGCCTCTGCAGCGCGGGTTCGATCCCGGCCAGCTGGCGAGAATCCCACATGGCGAAGCAGACCTCTCCTGTCTTGCCCACTGCTCCCCTCAGCAGGGTATTTCAGTCAGTCTGCCGGTTCTGTTCCCCGCTCTGTCTCTGTTGAATCCTCTCACCCTCTTGCGCATCTGGCTGGTACCCCGGTTCTTGTATAAAAATAAATAAATCTTTTTAAAAAAAAGAAATAAAAGCCAAAATACCCAGCTTTCAGAGAAAAGCCCTGAAGACAGAGGGGTATTTGATATGGAGAAGCAGTGGGAAGTTTGGTTAAGGGAGAAGCAACATGGGGCTGGTGATGTGGGAGTAGGGACAAATCAGTGGAGGGGGACTTCTTCAGTGACAAAGGATCGGAGAATGACAGGTCTGGTTGGTAAAACCTGCTATAAATATGCTAAACTTTGACATGAGTTATTTTGGTCCCAGCACTGACTGAATGCTGAGGAGTACTCTGCTGGACTCAGCAGGAAGATGAACCGGTGACAGAGCACCAGGATTGCCGGGGAGGTGGCCCGATGTGAAGGGCGGCTCCTTGACTGAGGCAAAGTATGGTGTTCTTTGGGTGCTTGCTGAGGGCGCTGGGCATTCCCAGGGCCTTGATGGAACTGGACCAGTAGTGTCAATGTTTAACAACTGGTCAATGTTTAACAACTGACTCTGTGAAAACAAACTGATTTGTAGCATTTGCCAATTTCTCTGGTGTAAGTACTCCCACCACAACTGATTTCAACTTATGACCTCATTGAATGCAAAGTTAGAAAGAGGGGTATGTAATTGGGGCTCTTGATAGCTGATGTGAGCAGGCCGATCTTGGGCCATGCATCACAACCACAGAAAAGTCTACACCACAGCACTCATGAGCATCGCGGGAGGGAGGCGGGCTCCTAAATATAATGTAGCACCTGAAGGATAGACATGGGTGATTCGTTCTCAGGAAAATATAATGTAGTGCCGTAAAATTTAGATGTGGGTGAGTCACTCACAGGAATGATAGTGGTTTGAAGGAGCTGGGCCATGATAGAATGGGTCTAGAGGAGACTGAAGCCTGTACTAACTGGGCAGGAGTCTTAAGCCATCCACCCTCTGCCCTGTGCGAGACTCCCTGGTCACACATCAGCCTTCTGTCCTTCTACGCTATACTGTTCTATATGCTATCAATTTCAGATATGTAAATTGATGATAAGAATCTGGCATCTTCTCCCAAATAATCTCTTTGCCAAAGAAGTTTGAAAATGATTGCAATCATGTTAATGGAATTTCAAGTATCTACGGAATGCATCCCTGTGAATAATTTATTTTCATCTATAAGGAAAAAACAACCCATCTATTCTGCAGGAACCTAAATTATTAGGCAATTCATGCAGAGAATGACTTCAGGGAGAGGATATAGTGAGTGGTGAAGCCAAGAGGGAAAGTAAACTGAGGCAGGAGGGAAACAAACTCAGTCTGGAAATATTTTCCTCATCAAATAAAAAAGATGACAAATATAGGCCATTGCATGCTCACTGTTTATCCCACACAAATGAAGACTCTTTAAGCTGCATCTGTGATATGAGTGTAGAACTTGTGATGGTCTGTATTAGTACACAGAATGCCCTGTATATATCTTAGCAATCTTACTTCTCCTGAAATATTTTGAAGGGACTATGACATTCACCTCCACTATGTAAGTTGTACAGTATGACCTGCTACCCTATAGCTCAGTAAACTTTACACTCTTGCAAAATAACCATCAGGAAGCAGGAATATTTTCTTTCTGTCTTTTTCAAGTTGTCCATTGACCTATCCATGGCATTCTAGGAAGATTCTGTGGTTTGCAATTCAATAGGAGAGGTGGGAAGAGAGAAAGGGAATAGGAGAGGCATTTCATAAATTATCAACATGTAAGTCCTGGTACTTAAAAATGAGTTTTATAATTCTTTCTCAAGGGAGCCAAGGATTGAGCTGAGCTACCTGTGTAGAATATCAACCTGTCAAAGTGCTGTGACAAATGGTACTTTGGGGTTCTTACAATGGCTTCATATTTCCTAGGTGCTTGGGAGATTATAGTACTAATTTTTGCTCATTAAACCCCAATCATGTGAGATTCACTGACTTGTAATTTGCTACTCTGCCTATCCTTTATTATTATTTATATCATAGCTATATCCACCTTCCCACAGTGAAAGGGAGGGTTACAGTAAGAACAGAGCCATGGCGATATGATGGGGTCAGGGGGCTGGTGGTGAGGAGTTGGGAGATAGCTGGGTGCCAGAATAATGATTTGTATCAAAAAAACAGAAAAAAGGGGAAGTTATTACAATTGAATCAAGACCTAGAACTGAATTCCTTGGCAAAAAGGGAACAAAGAGTACCTCTTATTAGCCACTTCAGAAATCGCACCAATAAATATTCTAGAAGAGTGGAATGAATAGCAGTTGGCCAGCAAGCAGGCTTTCCTCAGACCTTCCCCTGCACCGAGACACTCACCAGACAATATGGATGCAACGGCTGCTATGATGAAGGACACAATGACACCAGGTCCTGCCATTTCTTTGGCCACCAGGCCAGAGACCACGTACATCCCAGTGCCCACGCAGCTGCCAACACCAAGCGAGATGAGGTCCACAGTGGTGAGCACCTGGGCAAGCTTGGTGCCATGTGCTGAGGTGGCCCCCGTTCCCTCCAGCATGGACTCCACTGGTTTGGTGCGCAGGATCCTGGAGTGCATGGCGTTCCAGGCAGCCCCCCATTGCACCCGCCGGGGGTCCAGGGAGGTGAGGAGGCCACTCATCCTGAACGGTGGGGGGTTACGGTGAAGGTCGACTGTTGGAAGGGGCTATGGAAGCCTTAGTGGATGCTTCTGGGACTCATCTAGTGGTCAGGGATCGCCCTCCCGGAAAGATCCAAAAGGTCCCAAAGCAGCCTCCTCCTGGGCACGAATGTCTGCGGGAAACACAAGAAAGGAGGAGGTGAGACCAAGTGAGAAACAACCCTGACTGGAGACTCAGCTGGAGGTCAGTGTGCTGAATGGCAGACTGCTCTGGCCTGGGGACTCACAATGCAGGAAGGACGCATTGCTCCCTTTGTGTCCCTGGGAGTCCTAAATCACAGGCTGTAGCTTGCACTGTGTCACATAGTCATTCTGAAAGGGTGGTTTAAAACAAGGCTCTATCATTATAAAGTCACTTAGTGGGGTCTCCCCTGGTGGCGCAGGCGGTTGAGCGTCACGCTGTGGAGCTGCCCGCAGCCTCTGCAGAGCCAGTTCGATCCCGGCCGGCTGGTGAGGGTCCCACATGGCGTGGCAGGCCTCTCCTGTCTCACCTGTGGCTCCCCTCAGCAGTGTATTTCATAGTCTGCCTTTTCTGTCCCCCACTCTGTTTCTGGTGAATCCTCTCACCCTTCCGCGCTTCTGGCCTGTGCCCCGGTTCTTGTGTAAATAAATACATCTTCAAAAAAAAAAAAAGTCACTTAGTGTTGATGTGAAGATTAAATTAATGTACATCTGAAAGGATCTTAAGCTGGCACATGGAAATGTCTATCTGTCTAAACTTGAAGTTCTTACCTGCTTCAGCCAAGATTTGGTCTGTCATTCTTGGGGATATTTTGGGGGTGGGGCACAATATCCTTATTTTAACATAAGGATGAGAATTAGATCAATGACTCTCAATAGGATAAGTGCCACTCCACAGGATCATTTTGGAACTTTATGCTCAAATGACATGAAATATGTTTAGAGCAATTTTTTGCTTTCCAAGATTTGGTGGGCAGGTCAATTATTCGGGATGTTGCCATTGCCATGAAATTTTAAAATATGCGACATTCTTTAGATGAAAATTCTGGTTGTGATGATCTGAATCTAAAATCTAACTATTTTGGGCCTCCCTGGTGGTGCAAGGGGTTAAGCACTGCACTATGAAGCAACCCGCAGCCTCTGCAGCATGAGTTCGATCCCCAGCTGGCCAGGGAGCAACCCACATGGCGAGGCAGAACTCTCCTGTCTCTCCTGCTGCTCCCCTCAGCAGTGTATTTCAGTAGATCTGCCTGTTCTGTTCCCCACTCTGTCTCTGGTGAATCCTCTCACCCCCTGCATCTCTGGCCTGTGCCTCAGATCTTGTATGCATAAATAAATAAATTTTTAAAAAAATAAATAAAATCTAACTATTTTAAAGTCAGAAGTAAAAAAAAAATATCTGATGGTCTCACTACAGGGGAATATAGGGAAACTGAACAAAGTATCAAGGAAATAACAAAACTTGTAGACAGAGCATAGATCTGAGGCACACAGCAGGGGAGGGGTAGGGGAGGTGTCAAAACAGGCGAGGGAATAGCACAAGGAACTGTGGTGATGTCCCAGGTGATGTGGTGGTAGGAGAATTATGGGGAATGCACAAAAGGGGAGAAATCAAATATTGTACAGAAATGAACAATGTAAGAAAATAAAAAATAAATTAATAATAAAAATCTATTTTACAAATAAACACACAGGATTTTTTGGAATCGTTTAAATATACATGTGCATTGAATTTTCAGGAATGCAACTATAGGATAAATTGAAGGGCAGTGGTAATTTCTTTAGTTTGAAACTTAAGAGAAGTGTTTTTTTTTTTTTTTGATTGCTGAATAGCATTCCACTGTGAATATACACCACATCTTCTTGATCCATTTCTTATACAAGGGACTATGGTGATGGTGCACAGGTGAATTGGTGGTGGGAATTTTACAGGAACTACACCTGAGAGGAGAAAGCATGCAATGTGCAAGGAGGAAGAATGATGTAATATATATATATTAAATAAAAATTAAAAAAAATAGGGCCTCCCCTGGTGGTGCAGAAGTTGAGTGCTGGGCTGTGAAGCTGCTCACAGCCTCTGCAGCACCGGTTTGATCCCCAGCTGCCGGCGAGGGTCCCACATGGTGTGCAGACCTCTCCTGCTGTGTCCGCTGCTCCCCTCAGCAGTGTATTTTGTCAGTCTGCCTGTTCTGTTCCCCGCTCTGGCTCTGGTGAATTCTCTCACCCTGCAGCGCTTCTGAGTGTACCCAGTGCTTGTATAAATAAATAAATAAATCTTTAGGAGAAAAAACACCTTTAAAAAAATTTAAAAAAATAGGCGTGGCTCACCATTTCAGAAAAGCAAGATTCTAATGGCAGTGCTGCCCATCCCCCACATAGCACACCTGCCACTATATCTTGTGGCAATGATACTTCATATAGAGCAAGCACCTGACAACTCCCTCTGAGCTGCTCAAGAGTTTGCATGTGGCAATGTTTTACAGGCAGAAAGCTTAGCCATGAGTTTTGCTTCAAGATATTAATGAAGAGAGACAAGATATTTATTACAAGGAAAGAGGTATTGGGTCTGATGGGGTTGGTGATATTATGTTAGATGATTTCTAAAGTTTTGTCAAGTTAGAAATTGCAAAGATTATGAGACTACTTTTTGAAAACCAGAAAGTTTACAAAATTTTAAAACAATTTTTAAAGTAAAACTGAACACTGATTCCAAGTATTGTGCCCAGGAATTCACATTTACAATAAGTACCCTCCCATGCAATCTACTGATATTATTAATTAATACTACTTAGCACTTACTGTAACACTTATCTGCTTCTAAACGTTTTGCAAACACTACCTAATCAGGCGATTAGGTGAAATGTGGCAGTTTGGTTCACAGGGGTTGGGGGATAACCCCACTGTTTTAATTTCTTCCAAGACACGACAGGTTGCCACGTGCTGTATTTTAATTTTGCTGATGGTTTACATATCACAAAAGTTGGATAGCACCACTGTGTATTCCAGAGTCATTTAATAGCCTAGAATGTCAGCGTATTTTTGTTTAGATTTCCAGATTTGTGAGAAAATGTGTCACACGTATACTTGGAAGACTCTAAGAACAAAGACTTTGCTTGAGCTTTTATGGAGAAACTAATGTATACATTTATTTTATTTCAATATAGTCAGCATGTGTGGAACATCCATTATGCACCAGGTATAGCATCAAGTTTGGAGGTGCAAAAACATGGTCCTGTTCCCATGGAACAATGCATAGGGGAAAATTTGTTTATTTATTTTTATTTTTGGACAATATATGATTTCTTCCCTCAGGTGTGGCCACTGTGGTTCTCCCAATACCATAGCACCCACAGTCCACCAGCATAGTCCTTTGCCTTTTATTATCTTTCTTATTAGAAAGGAATAGCACATCTTTTAGAGAAAAATTAGACAATATAAATAATGAGAGACTAGACTATACAATGTTGATAAAACCACACTATTCCAGGGAGCAATAAAGGCTAAGTTATATGTTGAATTGTGCACCCCCCACCAATTTATTGAATTACTACCACCCCCCGCCCCCTGCCCTCAGACCTCAGACTGTGACCTTATTTGGAAGCAGAGTTGTTGTAGATGTAATTAGTTAAGATGAGTTCGTCCCGGGGTTAGATGGGCAGCTTATCCTATATGACTGTCCTTTTCAAAAGAGGAGGTTGGTACATTGAGATACATATGCTGGGAAAAGGAGATGTGAAAAAGAAGCAGAGATCAGGGTGCCAGGTCTATGGCCAATGAACCACCAGAGGCCAAGAGACAGAGGCCAGGCACAGACCCTTCCTTGCCACCCTGCCGGCACCTGATCTCAAATGTGCAGCCTCCAGAATGTGAGATGTTTTATGTGAAGTCACGCCCAGTGTGGTGTTCAAGCTGACCATGTGGCTTTCAGTGGGGAGGGGGAGGGATGGGGGGCAGATGGAGGAAGAGTACAGTGGTCTTTGGTGGAAGATAATAGGTCCTTCGGTGGAGGGAAGCACCCATTGTCCTTGGTGGGGAGCTATGGTGACCACAACTTGGAGGGTGGGGTGGGGATCCTATACTGTCAAAATATTGGCAAGGATGTAGAGCAAAAGTACTTCCAATAACAATGAATAAATTAAAAAAAATAGCTCTAGCATATGATCTAGCAATTCCACTCCTTGGTATCTATCTGTAGAAAACAAAACCACTAATTCAAAGGGATAGATGCCCTCTTTTGTTCAACGCAATACTGTTTACTGTAGGAATAAAAGTCACCCCATAGCACTCTTTTTACAGCAGTCCTAGTGCATGAATACAGGAGATACAGGAAATAAACCAGGTGATGAAGGAGCAAGCAACGTGGTCTCTGAGGTCAGAACATTGGCTCCCTAGTGACATAGGAGCTGTAGTGCCTGGTGTCAGGGAATTGTGTTCCTGCAAGAGTGGGATAAGTCCAGAGGGAGAGCTGGGCAGCCTGTATGGTACAGGGGAGGGGAAGGATTAGATTGCTGTGTTATAGCTGCGTGTGTGTTGACCAATTGAATCCTATGGCAAATTGGCTTTTACAGATGTTTGGAGGCTCCTCAAAAATGGATCTACCATGTGACCAGTGATTTCACTCCTAGGAATCTACCCAAATGGCACTATAATACTAATCCAAAAGGAAACCCACATTCCTGTTTATTGCAGCACTATTTACAATAGTCGAGATAAGGAAACAACCTAAATGCCCTAGAGCACATGAGTGGATTAAGATGTGATATAGACACAACGGAATACTACTCAACCATCAAAAGGGATAAACTCATGCTATTTGCATCAACATGGATGGAGCTGGAAGGGATTATGGGCAGCCAAATAAATCAGAAGGAGAAAACTAAATGTTGATGGTTTCACGAACATGCAGAATATAGAGAAACTGAAAATTTCTCTATAAAAGACAAAGGGTCAGAAAAAATACAAAGCTTGTAAGGTGACCATGGATCTAAGGCACACAGCAGGGGAGGGAGAAGGAGAGGAGTCAAAACAGGGGAGGGAAGAGCACAATGGAATATGGCGATGGGTCATGGGTGCTGTAGTGGTGGGAGAACTATGAGGACAACACATGAGGGGAGAAATCAAACATTATCCAAAAATTAACAATGTAGGAAAA